GGGGGGGGGGGGGGGGCATTAATCTGATTTAAACTAATCAATATGGGTCTAATTTGTTTTTCAATTTTTTCAACATATTTATTCTTGAGTTTGGAATTGTGAAAACTTTAATGGTGATACTTGTGGAGAATAGCAACAACTAGCCATGTAAAAAGCTTTGGTTAGTTGAATATGAAAGTCGGGAAAAGGAAAGTATATGAGAGAATTGAAAAGAGAGGAGGAAGAGAGGGAAGGAGAATTAGATATAAATTTTGGTAAAAAGACAAAAGAGCTCATCTGATTGACACATTGTTAATTTGCTGACAGAGACATATGAAAACTTATAAAATTGGGTACAATGCTACCTACTACAACATGTGTATGTAGGTGCATAATTTTAAGTAGTTTCAACATTGGCTACAAAATAGGAGATATATAGAATATAGAATAACGATGTACGAATAAGAACCAACCATAGAACCCTGTTCTATAAGTGGAATGCATAATGACTCATTCTTAGTTAGAACGGGATTCCGACTCAGCACCTTTTGAGAAGAATTGCTCTTTGGAGAGCTTCGTCTCTGGTAAACTTACCAAGGGCTAAAGTCATAGTGATCCTCCTATTCAACTGCTTCGACCATTCTGAGCACCTCATATCTTTTTCGGGGCGTCAGAAGATTCGGTCATATTTGCATGACTAAAAATCGTAAGCTGTTTGGTTTTAGAATTTCAAAGTCTATCTTCCCTATAAATGTAGGTGTTACTAGCTTCAGCTCAAGAGTTTGAGTGGTATAGACTTTCTTGGATGATTATATTTTTTCACTTTGCTGCTAAACTATATAATTGCATTTTTTTTTTATAACCATGGTGTCCGGGCCAGCTTACTGCTTGCTTACGTGACTAATTCCACGGGATACTTACTACCTCCTACCAGCAACATGTACCTGGTCACTTTGTCCACCAAGGCTTCGACTTATGGGAAGAAATTACCTAGTATTTTGTCTCTGCTGGGATTAGAACCTTAAACCTCACGGTTATAATTGCAAAATTATGCTAAGGAACATTAATGTTTTGAGTCCTTAAGACATGTTAGTGATAATCAGTTTGTTTAAGAAATCAATATTCGGCACATGTATTGGCCATTATTGGGACCTTGCTAATTTGGATCAGCATGGAAGTTCTTCAGCAAGTATGTATTTTCTCCGAGGAGCGATAGCAAAAGATATATAGCTCCTGTTTAAAGGGAGGGAAAAAAAGGTTAACCCACCATTCTAGAGATTCTAGAATCTTGCTAGGACACTGTATCGATCCTAGAAATTCTAGAATCTTGCTAGGACTGCAGAACAGTTTTTCTTCTATTTTTTGCTCACGTGTAAATATGGTGTCAGTACAACCTATGTACTGATCTTTTAATATACACAATACATTACCATCTCAAAAACAAAAACCATTCTAAGATGTATGCTCTGGTTCTGTGATCAGAAAATAAATCATGCAAAGTAGTTGAGAGTTAGAACCATTTTTAGTAGGTTAAACATGGACATGTATTTAACTGCTGCTCTTTCCTCTTTTTCTCTTCTTTTTTTTGATTGATTTGAGAAGTAGACATTGTGCCAGTATTAGACATACTTGTTCCAAATTAGCCGGGCAAGTGGACTAAACATCTGTTGATCTTAGGATCAACTTTTCCATATAGTTTATGTCGTTCTTATATGGTACTCTGTTTACAGTTCCGTATGCTGCCTTTTTCTTTTAGTTTTTCAAACTTTCCTACATATACTAGTCGCACTTGCATATTACAGTTTTATACGTTAGTTTTTTTTTTCCGAATTTTTTTAGAGAATGTTATGCCAACAGAAGTGCTTTTGTATTTGAATGTGTTATTACAATTACACTTTTAATGTAAAGGTGCTTTTACGTGGCTTTCAGAATGGCCATCTTGGTGGCTTGGGATATTATTATGAGGGCCCATTCGCTTCTTTCTTTCTTTATTTCCCCTTTTTATTTCTTTGGGTTTTTCGTTAATAGGAGTTTAGTGCACAGTAAAAGGAAGTAACACTAACACTTATGCCATAAAGCATGTCGCATGTTTTGCCAGCAAATTGGAGCAAAATGCTCTATTAAGATTAAACAATGACAGATTCGATAGTGAAATAAAGAAAAAACAACCATAATTTGATTAAACCATCGGTGCAGCAAATATCGGAATGTGAAAGAAAGAGCACAAGTTGAAGAATGTCAAAAAACATGATCATGTTTCTCGAGAAAATTAAGTAGACAAGCACCACAGAAGAGAAGCTGCAAACAGTGTCTTTATTTCTAATGCGCAAAGAAGTGGCTGCAATTATGTAGGAGATCCCCGAATTCACCACACCAAAGCCCCGATTTATGATATAGTTAATCTTTCTCAAGTAAAATTTAGAGTCCATCCTCCATATCGAACAGTCATTCCTATCTGTATATAGAAAGATATCAAAACTTTAGTTAAAAAGACTGCTAAACCTAAAGCCCTGGCACTAAATACAACACAGGAATTTCCAAAAAACTTCTGGTTTCCTATGTAATAAACTATGAAATCACTTGGCATCACCATTGTCTCACTATATTATTTGTAACTTTTGACATGGTTTTGTAATCGGAGAGTTCATCATCTACATGTTACCTTTATCTTGAGTTGTTTATGTTTTCATAATTACCTCAACTTTTACTTGAACTAACGGTTTTCCTTGTTTGGGTTTCTTTTAGTGCTTCTTCTGTATTTGATAGTTATACATCTTTTTATTCTTTTATTTTTATAATTTTTGCTCTTTTTTTTTTTTTTTTTTTTTTTTTGAATGGCTGCTCTGTTTTCATGCAAAGTAATTCCGCATACGATCTTAGGGTAGCACTGACTTTGTTTCATAATTGACAATTCTCTTTCTAAATAAGTTTTCTGGTAAGTTCCCTTTTTTTTTTTGAGAATGATCTTTCTGGTAAGTTTCTTTTCCTAAATAAGTTGATTGTTCATGTCCTTTCAACGCCTTTAATGAAGTACATGGTAGATTGTTCGAGAGAATACCATTTTGTATCCATTCTGTTCGAATTAATCATGTGGGTTGCTCACTGAACTAGCGTCCTTACTCTCCCTATTACTTCCTTCTTGTTGTCACAGTTGCTCTGTTATTTTGCATTTGTTTCTTTTAAGACCCTTTTCCCCTCCAATATGGAAATTAGTGGACCTAATGGCATTAGTTTTACTATATATCACTTACAACCTACATCTTTTTTATGTAGATTTTATCAATTTGATGGATTACCCGTCATAGATTCATTCAAATCTTCATGTATTTGCTTTTAATATGAACTTTGCAGGCATATGGTGTAGAGTTTCCACCTCGAGAGGAAAATAGTGTACCTTTATTTACACCACCACAAACGCAGCCAATAGTCCACATGCCTTCAGCTTATGAGGAGGCTGCAGTTGAGGCCTCTCTTGAATCAGATCCTTCTGGACTCAGGTATTGCATAACTTGTTCTTTTCCCTTTAGCATGGCTTCCTGCTAAGAAAATTTAGATTTTTATTTACGGACATCTCACTTATTTTAAGGACACAATTAAGTTTTATATGGATATTGTTAATATGGAAACATCTCTGCTTTCAATAAGTGCTCCACTGTTGTTTATGGACACCTATGTTTTAAAGGTCAATAAGTGCTCCTTTAGCCTCAAGTTAACTATCTAGAAATGAAAATCTGAGGGAGTACTTTTTGGTAGTCAGCATTCATTGGTACCTTGTTCAAGTGTAAGATGAAGTTTTTGATTAAAAAATGCATTGTTTTTAACATTAAGTTGACGAGCTTGCAGTCTGTCCCATTCATAGATGTATTGAAACTGGAAGAATGTAGTAAACCATAAATCTCAGATGAAATAGAGCAACTTTTATCAAAACTCAATTTCGATATTTCCATTCATTTGGGAATCGTTTTAAGATTGGTATAAATACTCCGAATTTTGGCGGGGGCGGTACTATATGAGGAAAGCCCTGAATTCAGCTATACTGTACTGCATCTTTCTTTTGAATGAGTTATCATTGGCATCTAGGCTACTTGTGACCTCTGGAGCTATATCTTTTTCTCATCGAGTATGTATTCTTAGTGTTGTGGATTTTTTATCCGGCTTTCAAACTTTATTGCAACTTTCTCCAATGCCTTCTGTCCCTCGTCTATGCTGTTTAATGAGGCCTAATGTACAAAAGAAGAAAAGCCATGGGAAGTCCTCGTGTTGCGTCCTCCTTTTTCAACGAGCGCAAGTATGTATTCTTAGTGTTGTGGATTTTTTATCCGGCTTTCAAACTTTATTGTAACTTTCTCCAATGCCTTCTGTCCCTCGTCTATGCTGTTTAATGAGGCCTAATGTACAAAAGAAGAAAAGCTCTGGGAAGTCCTCGTGTTGCATCCTCCTTTTTCAACAAACGCAAACCTCTTCTTTTACGCTTCCCAACCACTTTTACCTTATCCCCCCCCAAAAAAAAGAGAAAGAAAGAAGAAAGAACTGGTAATTTCAAGTAAGTGACATTTATGGTATCCCGTCTTTTCAGTGTTTCGGAGATTCAAACTGCTGAGGGACTAGCAGATGTTCTAACGGAGATGCTTGGTGCATTGGATCCAAAAAATCCTCAGGTCAGAACTAGTTTTAACTCTCTTGTTTCTCAGGTTCATAGTGTTTACTTGTCCTCGCCGGCTACTAAAGTTGAAAACTGGAAGGGTCATATGAATTATTCAAATGAGTTTCTTTTCTTGGATTGTCTTTGGTCACNAAACCATGCACACACACAAAAAAAAGGAACAAAGAAAAATAAAAGAACAGTAAATAGAGGAAAAAAAATGAAATTGTACCTTCAGAAATCCTTTATGTAAAGTATTTGGCATTTTTTTTAAACTTTTTGATGGGGGCATTTTGCATCTAGGTTTCAGAAAAAATGGTTGATGCAGTGAATTAGGTTAAACGGCAAGTTTAGATTGAAACATTGAATGCAGAAATTCAGTAGAACCGCCGAATATTTTTTGGTGAAGACAAATATGCTAAGGTAGTTTTGGGCATGAAATTTGGGAAGAATTAGGAATCTCTCATTTTAATGTTGTTTGGGATATTTAAATTTCTGTGCCTATTATAGGTATCTTCTTGTTGTTTAATCTTGTAGGTTAAATCTATATGGTTATATAATATATAGGCATCCTGTTCTTCTACCTTTCTCGGCCTTTTGGCTAAGTTCAACTGTAGTCCTGTTCTTCCTTTCAGTAGGCCGAAATACTACGAGTTCCCTTTTTATATTTCATTTTTTGATAAGCGATCTTACGTTCCATCATTGAGTGCTAAAATCCATATAGGTTGATCACCATTGTTATATCCAATTTACGTTGGGCAGTACTTGTAAAATCCAGATGAATTATTGTTCATGCTTTAATTTATTGCTTGACATCTTTACAGGCCGTAAAGGAGGAGGTGATCGCCGATCTTGTCGAACAGTGTCGTGCTTACCAAAAGCGTGTTATGATTCTTGTGAACAACACAGTGTAAGAACCTGTAGGTTTTGTGGTTTTATTTCATTCCTGATCACCCCTTGACATTGCTCACCTTTCCAAATTTAGAGACGAGGATCTGCTGTGTAAAGGATTGGCACTCAATGATGACTTGCAGCGAGTTCTTCGTAGACATGATGATATTGCCAATGGAACCTCAACAATTGTACAGCCCAGAGAAACTCCTGTTGCACCCCTCATGAATGTGAATCATGAGGATGATGAGTCAGAAGATGATTTCTCTCATTTAGCACGGAGGTAATGCTTGGTCATTTTGCTGCTATACTGTTCCTTCTCCCGTTTTCCTTGTCCATACCAAGTAGTATTAGTGTTAGTCTTGCATTTTCTTATTTTTTTTGATTTCTATTACTACCTGTTGTTTCTTTCGCTTCGGTTTTCTTGTTATCTTGCTGGTGTTACTGTCTATCGGTAACAACCTCTCTACCTTCTCAAGGTAGAGGTAAGGTCTGCGTACACACTACCCTTTCCATACCCCACTTTTGGAATTACACTGGGTTTGTTGTTGCTGTACTGTTCCTTCTCCCCCACCCGCACAGTAATTGTCTTCAGTTTTATAATTATGGTTTTGCCAGGCATTTTCTGTTCTTACTGCAAATATTGCCACTTTAGAGTATGTGATGTAGTAAAAGCATTTTGATTAGATCTTTAGATGGTCATTGATATGAGAATATAAATCAACTGCCTTTATTCTCCATCAAGGAGAAGTTGGATTTCATTTTCTGGGAAGAACTTTATGTCAAATGATTCCTAGAGATAATTTTTGCTTTAGTTCTCCCAACAGGTTAGCACACTTCAACATTTAGCCAGTTTGGCATGCATCCGAGGTAACCTACTTTTAGATTTATTATAGATTATCAAAAAAGGATTTATTATAAAGCAGCAGTGATTAGTTAATTCCATTGTTGCTATTTAAAAGAGACCAGAACTGTGATACTGTTTCAAACTTGGGGTTTCACCAAACTATTACCTTCACTTTTTGGTATTCATTGAAAATAATCAACTTTAGCCAGTTGCTGTTATGTGTACCTTTCATATAACCCCATGTGAAAAAGTAAATAAACTTCAAAGGTTGAAGGTAAGGCGTGTTTGTCTGACTCTTCCTCTTCATTTCTAAGGGGAGTTTAGTTAAGATTATAGAGCAATCAAAGAATATGAGATCACATCAAAATTTTGGTAGCAATAGTGAGAAGAAAAACCGTATAGCTGATCATAACTAATTTTGGTTGAGGTTTAGTTGATTGATTTATGGTGGGTGAGCAGAAAAAACATAGTCCTTCTAATATTATTTGTTTTGTCTTTCAGTATAAATTGATATTAACAGTTCTACAGGGATTTGTCTGTGTAATGTCAAAGGTTTTTGCTTTTACCACTGTAAAAGATTTCTTTGTGTAACATCAAAGATTTTCGCTTTTACCAATAGTGTAATTTTTGCATTATACCGTTTCTTTCTTGTTATGATTCGTTTGCTTGTTGCGAGTCTCTGCATAATGATGAATGGATATCCAATAGGTGAATGTAGTTTAGTACAAGATCACTTTCTTCAACAATTTAAGGCACTTCCTTAGGAGTTGGGAGTGATTTGTTGGGCTTAAGTACATTGTTCCAAAACTTTCCCAAGTCCTCCTTAAACTCTTCTTGGAACTCTTCCTATCTTGGCCTTGCCGTTTCCGTGAGTTTCCAGCAAATAGTGGTGCAATTTCCTCTTCTCAGTTTTCTTCTGAAAAAATGCCAAACTCCAGCATTTTATCCATTCACTGTGAGTTCCACACAGTTGGGACTTGTTATTGAGATTCTGTTTGTAACAGAAGAACGGCTTAGAAACAAACAAGTGCATCAGAGCTTAGTGTCAAATGCCACCATGTTATCCTGGTCAAGTGTCCCAGACTGTATGCCTTGCTGGTTGGATCTGAATCTGCTCTATAGTTATCTAATCTCTTTCTTTTTCCTACCTCCCCTACGAAGGGATTCCCTAGGATTTTGATTACAGTTAGAGTTACTATGGAATTTTGCTAAGTACAGAATAATGGTTTAAAGCAAACTAGTGTTGCAGAGCCATTGGAGTTGTGGCTCTAATCCTGCATTTCTCATGTGCATGAGTTGGATCGCTGGGAAAACCAGCTTCTCCTTTTCTTCTTTACAATTTTCTGAAATCATTTTTTTGTATCAATATGTACTTGACCCAAATTATATTACAATAAGCCATCAGCACTTGAAAGATTTTGACACTTAGAATCCAAAAAAATTATATGGGTGAGTGATACAATAAGCCGGAACTGCATTTCATCCGTGTACTCAAGGTTTAGAACATGCATAGTTGTTAATTCACAAAAGAGCCGAAGAAGCTTTTGCTCAACATCATTAGCAAGCTCTCAAACAAGTAAGCTTTTGATTCTTGGTTTTCCACCAGCATAAACATATGCAGTTGCTTAATAAGAAATTTGGGAGATAAAGAAGAGGAAACGATGAGTTTCATTTCCTGTTTACGGGTTTTAATGGAATAATGGGCTGATGATTATATTACCATTTGAAGTTCCAGGGGCAAAAGCCTTCAAAAAGTTTTGGATAGGAAAAGTGCACTTGTGGGGAAAGTTTGGGATACAAGAGTTTATCGTACCTATTTCTTGAATCTTTAATTTCTTTTCTCGACCTAGTTTTCCTACTTCTGCCTCGGGTGGTGTGACAATAACTTCATAATGTTGTCAAATTCTGAGTAGAATGTTTCCTGGGTCAAGGGCAAGAGCTTGGCAGATTGATATTGGTGCCTGTCATGCTTAAAAGATTTGCAGTCTAGTTTTGCTGTAAATCCACTTTATTCATCTGTATGCTGTCATGTGCACAATTCTATTTCTAGACTATGAATCCTCATTGAGTGAGAATTTTTGGGCACCGAGTATGAAACTTTACTTCCCTTAGTAGATATAATTGGCAATGATTTGTCCCTTCAGGGACATCCAATAAAATTGGTACGATAAAGAGAAGATATAAGTGCCAATTATTTTTATATCCATCGTAGATATAAGTTTGTGTTTTACTTGTTAAAAAAAAAGATATAGGTTTGTGTTTTAATTTACTCAAGGATTTCAAAAAGCGCAGGAACATTTGGTTGTGTTTTATCAAATCTCTACTGGTTGGTGGTGTTGTCCCTGGCTTTGCTCGTCCTTTTCTTGATGTGTTTTTACTATCACTTGTGTTGCAGATCTTCAAGGGATCCATCGCAGGCACAGGGGCGGAAGACTGTTGATGTAAAGAGTGAACCTATGCGAATTACCCCTACTCTTCCTCCCCCACCTTCATCAAGGAAACCAGTTTCTACTGATGCGGGAATGGTTGATTATCTCAGTGGTGACAGGTTTGAATCTGAAAGATCTTTTGGAACAGCAGGATCCTCACCTATTGCTGTTTCAACTAATTCAAACAATGTGAGCTCCATCCCGCGATCAAGTCCCAAGCCTTCTTCATCCGCACCCCCTTCGGATGATTTGCTAAACCCAACAGCTGATGATGATTTCGTGAACCCCACTGCATCCTTGTTTACTGGAAAAAGCAACAATGGCGAATCTGATACAAAAGCCAAATCTGCTGATCACTTGCCTCCAGCACCTTGGGATGCTCCTCCTCCTACCACGCTCCCTCCACCACCGGCCAGATATAATCAGAGACAGCAGTACTTTGAGAAAAATGTTTTTGGTGGTGGATCGAGTTCTTATGATAGCTTAGTTGGACAAACAAAGAATCTTTCCATTAACTCTTCGTCGCCATCCAAACAAGAGAAACCTGAGGACGCACTGTTCAAAGATCTTGTTGATTTTGCAAAAGCCAAGTCTTCGTCATCGTCAAACCAATCCAATAGATCATTTTAAGTGATTGTAATGGATATGAATAATTTGTGGTGGTATATATCAGCTTTTACATCTTGTAGACAATAAATGTTAAAGAGAACTGGGTTCATGGATTACTGGAGCTGCTCCCTCTGCTTTATTTTCAGTTGTGAACCTTGGGCTTTCAGCTCCAAGGTGAGTGATAGTGTAGCCGACATGAGATTTACAGTTTGGTTATTATGTATTCTTTTCTTCCTTTTAAATTGGTTTGTAATCATAACAATACTTGGGTTCTACTATCTCTCAATTAGTAGGGATGATCGTCTACGACTATATGAGTTCTGTTTACATGATTATATGTTCTGCTGGTGGGCTGAGTGATTCGGGGGATCCGTATCCTATATTTGTGCCACCTTTTAACCTGTACCCTATTTTTAAAAATTATTGATTTGGTAGCCAGTTGACAAAAAAATTCGTAATAATATGATAATTACACCCTTGACAAAAGATATAAAACCTGCATCATGCATTAATCGCGTGATCTGCAACCTCATTCGTTAAAAAAGATCTCCTTCTCTCCTCTCAGCAGTTTTATCAAAAAACCAGCAACTTGTCCTGATGTCCACACTTACATGAATATGTTTCACCTTGAAGCTAAAATTTCATGCTAATGTAGCATGAAGTTGTTTCATGTTGAAGCTAAAACTTCATGCTAATGCATGCTGAAATTATTTATCCTGCAGTCTACATTTTTGTCATGGGTTTTATCCGAATTTTCAGTCTAAACATGCTGAAGTTATTTAGTTCATTTGTTAAAACTTCAGACTAAACATGATTAAGTTTTTTAGTTCATTTGCTAAAATTTCAGACTAAACATGCTTAAGTTTTTATCTTGCAGTATGTAATTTTCTAATGAGTTTTTGCTAATGCATGCTGAAATTATTTAGTTCATTTGCTAAAACTTCATACCAAAACATGCTGAAGTTTTGTCATGCAGTCTACAGTTTTGTCATGAGTTTTATCCGAAATTTCAGTCTAAACAAGCTGAAGTTTTTTAGTTCATTTGCTAAAATTTCAGACTAAACATGCTTAAATTTTTATTTTGCAGTATGTAATTTTCTAATTAGTTTTTTCTATGCTGAAGTTATTTAGTTCATTTGCTAAAACTCCATACCAAAACATGCTGAACCCTACAGTCTATAGTTTTGTCAATAGTATTTTATTAAAGAAGGGCAAAATCGTCTTTTTAAAACGCTTTTATCAAAAAAATGGGTACACATGCAAACAAAAAAACAAAATGGGTATAAGTTAAAAAGGGGCGACCAAATAGTGCGCCCCATGCAATTTTTACGAGTGATTCTGCCTCCAAGAAGAAAGAAAATCCAAAGGTTCAACACCTTTCTCATATTTCAGTTTGATAGCATCAAACAATACATTAGAGGATGTAATGATGGTTGCTTAAGAATATCGTAATCCATTTATTTTGCATAAACTGAACTAGAGGAAAATATGACATCTTCCAATGGACTCAATCAGAGAATTCTCATTGACAGCATCCTTGGATGTGAAGGCTTGGGCAGGGAAGTCAAATGTATCAACCTTCTGAATGTACTGTGGTCAATAACGCTTCTGGTTCATCAGATAGGGATTGCCATAGCGACGCCACCTTGTTCAGGTGATACTTCACAACATCCTGCATGTTGAACAATTAGTCATAGATTGGACCAGTCGTCTTGTTTTTAACCATGTTGATGTGAACTGTGTTTGTTTAGGAACAAGAAAACTTCCTCATTTAGCAACTTGAGAATAATCTCCATAGAATCTAGAAGATTGACACGCAAGTTTCTCCAGCCACCTTCTTAAGTCGTCTGACCCTCATACCTCTTCTCAAATTTGCTGCTTTCTCCCATAATCCAACTTCAGCATACTTGTTTGCTACCATAACCAAATTCCCACTCCTTTTAGGCTCCAATGCAAGCAACCTCCTTCTGACCTTTTCTCCCACTCCAGTATTGTCATTAATATCATGAATGTGGCACGAACTCAGTAATGTCCTCCATATAACTGCATCAGCCTCAACGGGCATGTCCACGATGAATTTGTACGCTTCTTCAAGACGACCAGCACGACTCAAGATATCTACCATGGCACCATAATGTGCCATCATAGGTTTGATCCTATGGACACTTTCCATCTCTCGAAACAAACGTTGCCCCTCTTCCACCATACCAACATGGCTACAAGCACAAAGCACTCCAAGAAAGGTCACATAGTTAGGCTTCGTAGAACAATCTTTCATTTTCCTAAAGTGTTTCATGGCCTCTACAGCAAATCCATGTTGTGCTAATCCAAGAATCATCGCACTCCATGTCCACACATTTCTTTCACCAAGCCTATCAAAGATCAAACGAGCATAATCTACAGCTCCACATTTAGCATACATGTCAACAAGGGAAGTTCCCAATTGACAATTCACAAACATCCCTTGCTCAATCACTTGACAGTGTATCCATTTACCTAAACTCAAGTCACCCAAATCAGCACAAGCAGAAAGCAAAACAACCATAGTTGTCTCATCCGGTTGGAACCGACATTCTCTCATCTCACGAAAAATCTCAAACGCTTCATAAAACCAACAACTTTCTACAAAAGCCGAAATGATCGAATTCCAAGAAACAACAGTTCTCAGCGACATAACAACAAACACGTTATATGCATCCACAATCTTCTTGCAAGATCCATAAAAATGAACCAAAGTGTTGTGAACATAAACGTTGTTACAAAAACCAATCTTGATTGATTCAGCATGAATCTGTTTCCCTTCTTTCAGACCCAAAAAGGTCGAACAAGCTTTGAAGAGAAAAGGGTATGTGAATTCATCTGAAGCAGCTCCACACCGCCGCATTTCGACAAAAACACGAATGGCTTCACTATGTGAACAGTTTTTGCACGTGGCATAATTTCTAATGAGGATATTCCACCACACATTAGATGAGTTGTGGGATTGTTTGATGACAAGACCCGCGTAAGTAGCTGAGTTTATAGGGGTATGAGATGCAAAAAAGTTGACGATTTTAAGGATGATAGAAGTTTGTTGACAGAGTCCGGAGATTATGATGTGAGTATGGATTTGGAAGAGGTGTTTAACAGAAGAACAAGAGTTGAGAATAGCCACGAGTCGTTGGGTTTTGGAGGTGGAGCTCATGCCACAACACTTTTCAGCGGTGTGACATTTCCCGCTTCTTGTTCTAGTATATGGGAACAGGGTTGAATTTAGTACTTTTTTTTTTTAAACTTTAGAAAATGGTCTATATTTAATATTCATTATATTTTGCGAACAAAAATGACCCTGTAGTAGTGATGCAACTATAACCTTCATATCACATCAATTGTGTACTGTAGAACACTGTTTTATTCATTAGACATGATGAACATTATATATTAGCTAATGATGTTAACACAATAGATGTCTAGTTTTTAGGTTTGCATATCCACAAGGGCAGCGTAGCGTCATGGTAGCGTTAGCTATGCTCGACTAACAGGATGAGTCATGTGATTGACCTGACATTTTATTGAGATGAACTTCGAGCTGCTGAACCGACAACGTGTTTTCTGCTTGTTTTGGAAGCTTGAAACGACAGACAAGTGGTGACTATGGGACGCCATAGCCAACGCTCTATCTAAAAACTATTCTTTCTTTCAGGCCGGTAGGGGGAACCTTCCGCATGAAAGCGAAAGGAAGCGACCGATCAAGAAATGCAAAGAGAAGGGGAATGGTTAGTGATGAAGTCATAGCGCTATACCTTTCTTCTGCAATGATTCCATTCTGGGATTCCGCGCTTCGAAAAGTCTTTTTTGATGCGTCTGTAATAGCCTATGTGTCCCAAAAAAGAACGTGCTACGCCCGGCCCCCTTTTCAGTAGATGAGATTAGGATGAAAGGGCTTTCTTTCAGTAACATTCAGTGAAGGTGCATAGCTTCTTTGAATGTCCCGCTGATTGACTACTACATCTAGGGACGGGACTGATCCCGTTGAGAAACAAGTTATCCCAAAATTAATTATCTCGAGATTAATTATTCCCGGATTGTTATCCCACCCTCCCATAAGAATAAAAATAACAGTGCAATCTCGGAATAACTAATTCCGGGATTAATTATACCACGATTTTATCTCAACTAAATATGAAACAAACTCATCTTAAATTTAATCTCGAAATTAATTATCTTTTATTCCTCGTACGAAATAAATCCTAAGTGTGTCATTAGGCTGCCTTTCCATGTCATGAAGAGCATTTTTTTTCTTCTCTTGTTATGACGTTTTGATAGACACTAGTACTATTTTCTTATTTGTTTTCTGTAATTAATAATTTTTCAAAATTGCATAACCTTTAGAGAGAGATATATTAGAAAAGGGCACAAAGAATATCTATGTTCTTAATTGAGATTCATTATTAGACGTAAAATAAGTAAATTACGAGAATAAGGTATTCTGAAACTTTCTACAATTGATCTTTCCGTAACAATCACTCTTTATAAAAATATTTCACATATAATTACAGTTAAATAAACTCTAAATATCCAATGATATTATAGATTTACAACATTATAATATACGAAAAAATGTCCGACCAAACGAGTCTTTTATAGAGATGTCTTGCGACATATATAAAAATATTAGAAAAGGGCTGTAATTCATGCCATAAGGATCAAAGTCATATAAGCTCTCTCAAATGGTACATTGATTTCGTTTTTAATTATTTCAGTTTCCATTGAAATCCTTAATTTATCCCCGTTTATTTTCTTTCATTCCCTTACTTAGAAATTTCATATATTTTTGAACAGATAAAAAAGCAGCGAGCTTGTTAATACGATAATTTTAAGCCAGCGTAGTTATTAAAAGTTGAAAGAAATGAACAATGAAATAAGCTGGTGTTGTAATCCATTTACAACAAGGATTAAATGATGCAGTAGGAAGGCATATATTCATCTTTTTTCTTTCGACCAGAAAGGATCGATATTGCTAAATACTTTATTTATTTGACAAATATGCAGATATACCACGTAAAAGAGAAACGAGTTAGTATACAATAGATACTAGTCGTGGCGGAGCCAAAATTTTCATTAAGGGGTGTCAAAATATAAATAATTAGATACATCGAAAAGTTAAGGGGAGTCAATGTATAGTAAATATACATCAAATAAAAAATATTATCTAGCAATATAGTGTAATTTTCCGGCGAAGGGGTGTTGCTTGACACCCCTTGGATCAATGTGACTCCACCACCGGATACTAGTGTTTACCCGAAAAATGGATAACAATTGAATTTATACGC